CACTGAGCGAAATCAGATAAGCTAACGCGCGCAACCACGGGTCCGCCCGGGAGGGTGTGCAATATTGGGGACAGATATAAGAGCTTACACAGGGTGGCCCAGACCTACCGTACCAGGCCTTTTTTTCGGTTAATGTGGGTCGCACGAAGTCCAAGATCGCGGGGATGAATAGGGGATCGACCCCAAGGAATCCGAGTTTTATGGTCTCAGAGCCCCCCTGGTGCCCCTTGGGGGGTAAAGGGTGGGTCAGGATGCTAAAAATCACGGTTCCCGACCGAATTGCGGATAGATCGCATCAGAATTGAAAAGCACGGAAAGAGGTTGTTCCAAAAACGCCGATTTTGGCCCCCCCCTGGATTTGGCCCAAACTTTGCTCCGATGTTGTACTAAGTGTCCCCGATGCTTGGGCAAAATTTCAGGCCCCTCGGATAATTAGGGGGGAGGGGGCAGGGGGGCAAAGTTGCAATTTTTTTTAAACTTTCAAAATCGATATCTCGCGAACGATTTGAGTGTAAGTGTTGCGGTTTACGCTAAAAAACGTCAAAAAAAAATTCTCTACAAGAATATTAATGCTGTTTGCAAGGTTGCGTAATTTATCGCGGTCATAAATCGATTTTTTCGATTTTGAAGGTTCGACTTTTTTTCGTTTTTCGTCTCTCCTCTCTTTGGAATCGTTGCTACGTGAATAAAAACCTGTTGAGGTGATTTTCCATGAAATTCTGCATCTACCACACTTAGCTTGATCTTGGGGAAACGATTCGTTCGTGAGTTATAGCGATTTTTCTGCGCGTTATCGGTTACGCGCGGGCGGCTTATCGGCGGCGCTCCATCCCGCGCGGGCAAGGCAGAGGTTGTTTCACCCCTAGGGCCTTATATTCATGCTTTAGACTGTAATTAACGATATTTTCTCCTCCCCCCACCCTTCCACTGCAATAAATCTTTGTTTAATACTTCGTTATACAGGGTATCCCAGACCACCCGTAACAGGTCTTTTTCTCGGTTGGTTTAGGTAGTACGAAGTGGAGGGCCGCGGGATTGAATAGGGAATTGACCCCAAGGAATCCGAATTTCACGGTCCCGAAACCCCCCATGCCCCCCTTGGGAGGTAAAGAGGGGGTCACGATCCCCAAAGTCGGGAGACATTGTGCCTCCCCCTTTTACCCCCCGAGGGTGGCTAGGGGGGCATCGGGACCATGAAATTCGGATTCCTTGGGGTCAATTCCCTATTCAATCCCGCGGCCTCCCACTTCGTACTACCTAAACCAACCGAGAAAAAGACCTGTTACGGGTGGTCTGGGATACCCTGTATAACGAAGTATTAAACAAATATTTATTGCAGGGGAAGGGTGCGGGGAGGAAAAAATATCGGTAATTACAGCCTACAGCATGAATATAAGGCCCTAGGGGTGAAACAACCTCTGCCTTGCCCGCGCGGGATGGAGCGCCGCCGATAAGCCGCCCGCGCGTAACCGATAATGCGCAGAAAAATCGCTATAACTCACGAACGAATCGTTTCTCCAAGATCAAACAAAGTGTGGTAGATGCAGAATTTTATGGAGAATCACCTGAACAGGTTTTTATTCACGTAGCAACGATTCCAAAGAGAGGAGAGACGAAAAACGAAAAAAAGGCGAACCTTCAAAATCGAAAAAATCGATTTATGACCGCGATAAATTACGCAACCTTGTAAAGAGCATTAATATTCTTGTAGAGAATATTTTTTGACGTTTTTTAGCGCAAACCGCAACACTTACACTCAAACCGTTCGCGAGATATCGATTTTTAAAGTTTTAAAAAAATTGCAACTTTGCCCCCCTGCCCCCTCCCCCCTAATTATCCGAGGGGGCTGAAATTATGCCCAAGCATCGGGGACACTTAGTACAACATCTGAGCAAAGTTTGGGCCAAATCCAGGGGGGGGGGGGGCCAAAATCGGCGTTTTTGGAACAACCTCTTTGTCACTAATAATGGCTCAGTACGCTGAGCGTTTTACCAGAAAGTCAGCTTTAAGTTACATTCTTCGACATAAAACTACACACAAATTTTGTGAAGACGCATGCCCTGACTCTGAATAAATGGATTTTGTTAAAAATCCTGAAGATGACAGGTGAGTAGCTAACTACTTTGTAAGTTCCCTTCTCAATTTTGATTACCCAAATGGTTTCTAATGGTGGATAATAAGAGTCGTCCAGAAAGTAAGTTTACGTTTACCTGTTGAATATTTCCGAAACGAAGATAGGTAGAGAAAATCTGTAATAAGCTTTGAGAAGTCAATAAGTACTCTGGTTCTCTATTGCACCGTAGATTTTTAAATTTGGCTTGATAGATCTCTAGAAAAGTGGGATTTTCTGAACCCACCTCCTCTCCTTATGGGTTCAAAATTTTACGGAGCTTAATTCGCAAGTGAGCCTTCCTGTCTATCGCTTATGGCAAGAAAGTGGCTTAAAGGTGATTGAAATACGTGTGAAACATAAGTAAGGACATTTTCCAACAAGGAATTAGCAGGATTAGCCGTGTTTACTTCAAAATACGGGAAAATGTCCTTACATTAATGTGTTAAATGTTTTACATGTGTTTCAACCACCCCTAAGCCACTTTTTTGCCATGAGCGATAGACACAGTGGCTCATTTGCGAATGAGGCTCTGTAAAATTTTGGACCTGTGCGGAGAGGAGGTGGATTCAGAAAAATCCACTTTTTTAGAGTTCTATCAAGCCAAATTTAAAAATCTATGGTGTGTTAGAGAGCCCTGAATGGTGGCTTTTTTAAAGTTTATTATAGATTTTCTCGAAGTACCTATCTCAGTTTAGGAGATATTGAACAGGTAAACTCATCTCTGGACGATCCTCGTAGTTGTTCTTCCCTCTTTCTTGCAAATTATTTATTGAAATGAAATACATAAGGCTCTATATCATTGAAATATCACTATGAAAAAGGAACTGAGTTTAAAGACTGAGACAAAAAAAAGATAATGGTGACAGTAAAATGAGGTGAGAAAATCTACCAACTGGAGGCATCCACTTCAAAGTATTGCAATCACATGAATTTGTTGGCTGGAGTCTAGCGCATCCATCTGCATAATTGATTTTAAAGGTTTCCGTGGGTGTACTGAAGGAAAATCTTGACAAATTTTCTTTGACTTATATTTTGATCAGTACCTAGACATTTCCGCTGTGAAATGAAGACCTCAGGTTTCCATGTCAATCCAGTGATAAGAGAGTACATTGGTGTGCCTTCGAATTGACACTTGCTACATTTTTTGTGATTTTCAATTACTGGATATTACATTCATTGCACTCCACAAACATTTTTTATGAGAAAACCACGTATGTTCCAAATAATTCAAAACAAGTCATGTGCATGTTGGAGCAAATTTACTTCCATTCTAGTTTGAACATTATTGGCACGTACCTTTCAATTTCAGGATTTAACGGCTTTTGCCGAAGGGTACAGTTGGTGCCGGCACACACAGTTCCCGGGTAGAGTGGAGATCCATGTCGAAGAAAATTCCTTTGAACTGATTTTTTGGTAAATAAATGCTCAGATAACTGAAGCATAATTTACTGCACTATCAGACGTCAAAGGGAGTTGGTCATGAGGAAGTATTCACAACAGCATAGGAAAGAATACGTGGATATACAAGTAGAAGTAACGAGCAAATATACAGATTACTGACTTTAGTGACTTTAGCACTCAAGAAAGGAGGAAAAATCTTAGAGTAAGTGCTTAGTATCAGATGTTCTAGCAGTATAAATCCTGTCCAATGTGAAAATTGTTTGCATGCCCAATGGTTGCAAGTGCAAGAATCTATGTATGACCGCAGAAAGTGTATCATTAGAAGAACACTTATAGTATATTTTGACTAACACGAACACTGTAAAAATCGCGTGCAATGTTAACCCCAACACCGAAAACACGGCGATTTCAACTGAAAAACAAGCCTTTAGATACTTAAGTGATAGGGACACACACATATAACTAACACAGTTTTGGAAGCCATTTCCGGATTTTCCAACGTTTCAAGGAGATTGCAGGTCGAGATATTTGTCAAGCAGGGTTAGATATTTTAGTTGAACGAATAACAGTTCAGAAAATATGCCAAAAACTAGAGAAATCTTTGTCAAAAGGTGAAATTGATAACAGCCAGTTGGTTGTTTTGATTAGCCTCGATGTTCGAACGCGTAGAGGTCCCGCTGACGGCGCCCGGTCGAATGTGTGGCAAGAAGCCAGGGGGTAATTCCGGCGCCATATTGGATTGCCGCTAAAGCGCGGGCAAACGCGGCATTTTAAAATTTCGAACTTCAGAAGTCGTTTTCGGAGGGAAAAACGGCTCGGAAAAATCTGAAAAAATTACTGCGTGATCAGGAGACAATGTAGTTTCTGAAAATGCAAGAATTAGAAACAGGTTAACAAGCTCATTGACCCCTAAAAATCCAAAATCGGACCATCCAAGGCCCAAAAATGACCAATCGGGGGCCAGCAATATTGGGGACCGATATAAGGGCTTATATTTGAGGGGGGCTCCTGTCCCCTTCCCATAACTCTGTCTCCCCGTAACCACTTTAAATACCAAAGCGGACCACGAACCCGGAGACATGCTCATCGATTCGAGCGCATTTGCAAAGCTTTTTCTGTCGGGGGGGGGGGGGGGGGTTGGTTTTTTTTGGGGGGGGAGGGGGCTTAAAAACTCCTTCGCACCCTTCCACGACTCTGAAACATCAAAAGCAGCATTGCCTCATTCTGCTACTGGGATATCTGCTCCAAAATTAGCAATTTTCAGCCAATTTAGGAGTAAAAATTTTCAAATCGATTTAATTTTCCAAAAGCTCGACGGAATACATATTTTCGTTTAGGGCTTAAATTAATGTGTTCAAGTCCTATTTTAAGGTTCTAAAGGAAAATCTCTGGTAATATTTTTTTTTCATTTAACTTTGGTTCAAACGAACCGTGCTTTAACAATAATTTTTATATTTACCTTGATCATGAATCCATTACTTTTCAGGGGTTAGTAATCCACAACAAGGGCAAGAGAACCGAGACCCTCTGCCGAATCCTTGGGGTAGTACTGGCGGCAGCACTGGAGGAAGTGGTGGAGGCGGCGGTACTGGAACTGATTCAACTGGAACAATACCTCCTCTAGACAACTGGTTGGATAGAGGGGGTGGCCTTTTTAATTCTGAAACAATGCAGAGTTTAATGCAGCAGATGATGTCGAATCCACAAGTAATGCAGAACATAATGAACACTCCTTACTTTCAGTCCACATTGTCAGCTTTAAGTGCAGATCCTGACACTGCCAGGAGAGTACTCGCAAATAATCCTCTAATGGCAGGAAATCCAAACATACAGGTATATATTGCTCACTCATGGCACATTTCCAATAGACCTTTGCAATCTGATATGTTTCACTTGATTGATCACAATCAGTGTTTGATGTAAATGTTCGGTGGGGGATGCAACCAATGTGGGTCAAGAATGAATTTGTGAACATAATCTGGATCAAATGGATGGAGTTGAGCTGAACAGTCACAACTCCATTGCGGTGTTTCAATGTATATCATCACCTTTTTTAAATTTTTGGAAGTCAGCCAAGCAACATCCCCACCTTAAAATGAATTCAATGCATGTTGCCCTTACAAAGGTTATTTCCACGAAATTTTAAGCTGAAATGTTCATGGGTTTTGTTCGGACCACTTAAATATGAGATGACATCTTGAATCATGGCAATGTAGATGCGACTGTTTGTTAAGCTTAACAATTGTCATACAGGGTTATTCAAAGGTCATGTACCACCCCTGTAACTTTTTTTCCTAATTGAGATGGAAGTTTGAAACTTTGAGAATGTTCCTTGGTTTAAAGTAGGAACTTTTTGGTCCCCCCAAAATTTTAAGGGGCGGGGGCTAACTTTTTTTTTTCCAATGGCAACCCCCCTTTTGTGATACCTCATTCATAAGATAATAAAGAAAGGAAATTTTTGGCGCAAACCGCAGGTCAAAATGTTGATTTTTGACAAAATGGCGGCTGGTTAAAGTTCAAAATGGCGGAAATTTGGCATCTCCGTTTTTTATCGGCAGATTGGTCTGAAACTCAGAATCCTACGGTTTTTCGGGACGAGAAAAACGATTCTGGCATTAGTTTTCCAGAATTGTCAGTCCTTTTGAAAATGGCTGCGGTTTAAATGGCAGCTTAGAGCGGGAATTGGATATTCAGGCAGCTTATCGTCGGATTTGTATGAAACATGGTATCCGGGGGTATTTTGGCACGAGAAGAACGAATCTTTCATTGGATTTTTGAATTTTTTGAAAACTTAAAAATGGCAGTAAAAATGCGAATGGCGATGGTGGATGCGGATTTTCCGTTATTTTGCCGTCACCATTATGACGATATTCAGTGTTTCTAAAATCTAATGAAAGATTAATTTTTTTCGAGCCAAAAACCACCAGAGTATTAATTTTTCTGCAAATCCATCGGTAAACAGCCTTGATATGGATTTTCCGTCATTTTTTCGCCGCCACTTTACAGTTTTCAAAAATTTCAAAAATCCAATGAAAGATTCGTTCTTTTCTTGCCGAAATACCCTCGGATACCAAGTCTCATACAAATTCGGCGGTAAGCAGCCTAAATATCCACTTCCCGCTCTAAGCCGCCATTTTAATCTGCCGCCATTTTGAAAAGGACTTTCATTTCTGGAAAACTAATGCCAGAATCGTTCTTCTCTTCCCGAAAAACCGTAGGATTCTGAGTTTCAGACCAATCTGCCGATACAAAACGGAGATGCCAAATTTCCGCCATTTTGTCAAATATCAACATTTTGACCTGCGGTTTGCGCCAAAAATTTTCTTTTTTTATTATCTTTTGAATGAGGTATCACAAAAGGGGGGTTGCCATTTGGAAAAAAAGGTTGGCCCCCGCCCCTTAAAATTTTGGTGGGACCAAAAAGTTCCTACTTTAAACCGAGGAACATTCCCAAAGTTTGAAACATTTATCTCAATTTGGAAAAAAGTTACAGGGGTGGTAGGTGATTTTTAAATAACCCTGTGGATGATCTCTATGATTTTGAAGAATTTTACTGCGGCGACCCCCAAGAAAAAACATGATTCAACAATTTCTGGCAAATCCTCATGGGATTTCCCATGTTAATGTTTCGGGTTGTTGCAGGACCCGTAATAATTCGATTTTAGGGTTGGAATTCTGCATAGGGCCTTTTAATAGTGTAAAGAAGAGATGTCAGCCTGGGGAGTACCAATTTTCGAAAATCGGGTTTTTTTCAAGCACCCTTGGGGAAGGGGGGTCCCTGGCTAGCCCATGGTCCAATAGCATGTCCGTGAAGTTAGCACCCCACTTTAAAAATGTTCAAATTTTCTGTTTTTCTCGTCATTGCTTATCATTTCTACCTCCCACCATCAATTTAATTACTTTAAGTTTTTTTGCTCAGGCTTTTAATCCCCAAAAATTTAACTTAAACCTTCAAGGAGGTCGTTGACCCCAGCACCTCAATCTCGTCCAATGGACCTGAAAGTGGTCTCAAACGACGCAGAAGCGTTTTCTAACCTATGCTGAGCCCTTCATTTTTGCTGCTCATTCCTTATTTCCCCTGGCAGCAGCACACGGTGGATCCAGTCAATGGGAGGGGTCGGTCATCGCGCATTACGCGTCTTATTTTCTCTGATTACAGAGATTTCCCGACCTCAGAATAGAGCAAATTTCCTGTACCTTCTAAGTGTATTTTTCGTCGTAGATTCCATTTTTGAGCATATTTCAGCCGAATAACGAGTTTTAATACGATTTTGACACACTTTTTCATGACCATGGAAAATGGGATCCTTGATAGCTTATTTTTCACGTTATTTTCGGCAAATAGGACCATAAGCGTCTTACATAAAGAAGAATTTTGCAGAACTTGACTCAAACACATTACTTGAGGAGTAAGAGAGGGCGGCTTCACAGGCCCCTCAACAACACTGTGTTTTTTTTTATAGGCTTTCTTAAGCCCCTCAACAACATGTTTTTGGAACAACCTCTTTGATACCACCTGCAATGTCAGCTTTGGGCAACCCGCATGTCAAAGTAGAAGGGTTCAAAGACCCTTGAACCGTGGATACATTCATTTTGGAAGCTTAATTACTAGGAAACCAAGAAAAAATATTTAAAATCCTACTTTTTTTTCGTCGCCCATGACTGACTTCTACCATTGACTCGATCCACCGTGCGGCGGCCGGCGCGGCGCACTGTGGAACGAGTCAATGGTAGAGGTCGAACATAGGCGATTTCGGCCAACCCCATGTCTGCCAGCTTAAAAGTGATCCTTAAGGTTTATATTTAGAGGATCTGGTACTACTTTGGGGCAAATAATTTCCTTTTGCCATGCCATAGCCCCCCAAACATGGGTATCACGCGAATTTCAATTTCAGCTGAGTTATCTATGATTATTCCTACCGCATCTTATTTATCACAACAACCACTAATGTAAATTTCAATTATTTAATGCTAATCTTGAGAGTCTGGAGAACATTTTCCACTACAAAACGTATTTTTATATTATTTTTTAAGGCCATAACGCCCCTTCAAAGGTACCCATTTCAAAAATCCCGAAAAAAAGTTTATGTAAAAATCTAAATAGTTGTGCCAAGGAGTGCCAAGCTTTCCTTTGTATGGGGGCATTCGTAGAACCCTTGAGAATCATAATTAACAAAAATCAGCTGCCACTATCTGCCACTTTGACTGTGAAGCCACTTTATCTGTTGAATTTCGCGGTCATGCGCTACGCTTCCCTCACGAAAATGTCATTGCTGCTTACGGTCAGGCAGCCTTATCTGCAATTTCAACGGTTGATTGCTATTTGTGGAGCTTGAAGAATATTTTCCACATTTTTAAGATCCCCCCCCCTCCATAATTCGCTTTATTGGCATTCACCTCACAAATAGCAAAATAAAAATATTCAAGAAAGTAGGGATTCAGTTATTATTACCAATATCTTTCAAGGTATTTTTTGTACAGGAACATTTGCAGGACTCCTGAGAATAATAATTCACCACGTTCAGTGTTAAAACCAACTCCCATTTTGCGTGTGACGTCACTATCGGTAAATGCCGCGATTTTGAGCTACCCTTACCTCTCGAATCCGTCGCGGCGTCGTCCTTTATGCTCAGATGACCGAGTGTGCACGAAGAGCGATTCTAACAATTGATTCCTACTTTACAGAGCCTGGAGAAAATAATTCTTTTTTTTTCCTTCCTTTTCTTAGCTCATAATGTCCGTTTAGAGGCACCCATCACAAAAATGTCATAGAGAGTTTAAGACGAACTTAGATGAAGAACATCAACCTTTTCACCATTTCGGGATATTTGCAGGACCTGTTAGAATGATACTAAACTTAGCTGCCATCATCTGCTACTACGGCTGTGAAATCACCTTATCGGTTATACACTGCAGCTGTGCGCGACTCTCATCCGCGACTTCAGGGCGTGCGCTAGATTCATACAAATCTGTTATCTCTTTTTACGATCGGGCAGCATACTGCCACTGATTGACTTTGAAAATGACAAACAATTTGAGGGAAGGGATAATGAAAAATCAACATTAGTATTGTTAACAGATCGACTCGGGTAAATAACTTATTCTTATCCAAACATTCCCGACTAAAGGTCCCTTCGGTCCCCCTTCCCCCATCCCCTTTATGTTTTCAAATTCTAGAAGTAAAAAGAATTAAAACTTCTCAAATTGCTGCTTTTTACAGATAACAGAGCCATATATTATCTTAATCACCGGAAGTGATGAAAAACATTTATTGATGAAGTTGAACATTTAGCTAATATTTGATGACAGTCAGTAGTAGTTCTCCTGAAATACGTATAAATATGGTTTTTTGTTGGTCAAAATGTAAAAATACTATCATAAATGAAATCTACGATGAAAATTACATGAGGCCTGTGAGTTCGGCGAACATTTGGTAGATAAAATCCTGATAATTATGGAACGTTCGATGCGCAGCATGCTATGTCCGACCTCTCCCATTGACTCGTTCCATAGTGCGGCCTGGCGTTTTGAGTCACATGAAAGGCAGCACCCCACTTTCGTCTGATGGAACTGAAATTGGCGTCAAACGACGCAGAATGATTTGCCCATCTTTCCTCAGGGCATCGTTTTCTTTGCTCCCCCCCCACTTATCCCCCGAAACGCATTTTGGCATTTTGGCATTTTGGGGGACATTCAAGGCACCACCCAGTTTCGTCCAATGGAACTGAAATTGGCGTCAAACGACGCAGAATCATTTGCCCACCTTTAAAGGTGAGACTACTTAGAGTACAAGTTATCCATCACTTTTATTTTTTTTTTTTGCCTGAAGGGCTATGCTGTTACTGAATGATGAATTAAATACCTCATCGTCATACATGATAGATTTCATGTAACATCCCCTAACTATCATAAATGATTAGTTTCATTTTTCTTTAACAAACACATAGTATACTTCCTTACTTATAGCGTAACAGTTGGACTAAATTTTGTCAAAAAGAAACCAATGTTTCTTGCTTATCCAACAAAGCACATATCAGCCTGGGAATCTTAGGACATGTACAATATGCTTGAAATGAACCAGAAATAGTGCTTCTTCATTGCAAAATTTAGTTGATTTAAATGTTAAGTTACTTGAAAAGAACTCAGCAATTTGTCACCCTCAATTTATATTTCCATGATTATTAATCAGTCATTATAGGTTAATAATTTCGAACATTTTACATTCAGAAAAATATCGAAGGGCAAAAAAAAAGTATATATACTCTAATAAGTTCTTCATACACTCTAGAATAAGGTCCAAGCATTCATATTCGTGTCAATTAATGCCATTTGAAGAGGCAGGTATGGAAACTGACCTTGGAAAACAGAGCAAAATCTGCCAATACAGAGAATATCAGCTTCATGAGTCCAGGGGGCAAAAGCGTTTGACAAAACCATTAAACCAATACTAGATTCATTTAATATGGATCCTTAGAAACACATTCTATCCCATTATTTTTCAAAACAAGAGGACACCCCATGTCTGAGGTTTTACCCTGATCGTCCCACTGTGCATTGGACGATACTGAGGTGGTGCCTTTGATGTCCCCCAAAATGCTGCCATTCGTTTGGGGGGGGGGGGGGGTGAGCAAAGAAAACGATAGCCTGAACAAAGGTGGGAGTATGATTCTGCACTGTTTGACACCAATTTCAGGTCAATCGGACGAAACTGGGGGGTCAATGACCTCTGTGAAAGTTTAAGTTCAATTTTTGGGGAGTACCAGCCTGAGCAAAAAAAAAAAAAAAATAGAAAGTGATTTTTGACGTAAACCAATGATGAGCAAAAGAGAAAATTTAAACATTTTAAAAGTGGGGTGCTAACTTCACGGACATTCTGTTAGCCTCAAGTTTGAAGTATTTCTCAGTTTTTTTGCAGCTCTTTTTCAAATGAAAAGAACCCCGCACTATCCTTACGAGAAATGGGTCTCTCTACAATCTGATGAAACTTGGATATGTTGCTCAGCTAGTCATTCTGATCAAAAGTTCTCATGGGCCTAATATTTTCGAAATAATCGCCGTTTTCTGTGCGTAAATTGAGGTTTCGCTGGCCTTACCATTGTGCGGTGCTTCTTGTACCCTTCCCTTCCAGTCCACACTGGCCGCCCTCCGCTTCCCCAGCAGTCAGCACCCATGCCCCAGGCTCGGACTCCGACGCTCACGAGGCTTTGCTCATCGTCGCCGAGCCGGGTGGTCTTATCACCGTGAGCGTCGGAGTCCGAGCCTCGGGTATGAGTACCGGGGAAGCAGAGAGCGGCCGGAGTGGACTGGAAGTAAAGGGAACAAGAAGCACTGCACAATGGTGAAGCTAGCGTAACCTCAATTTGCGCACAGAAAACGGCGAATATTTCGAAAACCGCTCGTGGGATCTCTTTGGGCCCATCAGAACCTTTGATCAGAATGACCAGCCGAGCAACATGTCCAAGTTTCATCAGACTGTAGAAAGAGCCATTTTCCACAAGGATTGTGCGGGGTTCTTTTTAGTGTGGAACGTTTTCGAGTAACAGATGCAACTAGAAACCCGAGAAACTATCATTCTCAATGAAGAGCTTAACATTGTTGCACTTGTGTTTTCTCTTCACTCATGAAAATTATTGCTTTGTGTTGTGAATTTCTTACTGTCTTAGAATCGATATCTAGATGTGCTGCCTAACGTTCTACAACAGTTACAAAACCCAGAAATTCAAAATGTGATCGCAAATCCAGAGGCTTTGTCTGCTCTTCAGCAACTTCAGAGTGCCTATGGAAGGCTTAGCACTTCAGCGCCTGGTTTAGTGGAAAGGTACATTTCTTCAAGTTTAAACATTGTTTTGTTTCCTTTCTCAAAATATCATATTTCTCTTGTTTTTTTTTTTTTTTTTTTTTTTTTTTTTTTTTTTTTTTTTTTTCATCCTCCAAAATGTTAAGCCTAAATATAAAATTTCCCAGAGTTTCCAACTCCAAGATCTTAACCTGTAGATGGACCACTGGATAGGGTACTAAATTTGGAACCACAATACATATTTCCTCATCAAAATTATACATAGAATATTATGGAGGCATTAAGACTTTAAAAATTCAACTAAGGTTGGTAAAAAAAAATAGCGGTTTTCGACCATTTTAATTCTCACTTCCAGCTCACAAAAAAACCTTAGTCAATTTGAGGACTTTACAGATTTTGGTATGTTTCTCAATGAAAAAATGTTCCTGTGCACCAACTTTTTTTGCTGAGAGTAAAGGTATCTTGTATAAAGAGAGGAATGAAATCTGTGTAAATTTATGATACACACATTCATGGCCCACTCGCGATGAATTGATAGAATTCAATTGTGATTTTTTTTCCAGCATTTTATCACCTCCAGGCTCAGGAGCCTCGCCAACAACTGGGGAAACAATTCCAGAAGCAACTGCTCCAAGTGAAAGCTCTAACACTACCTCGACAACTAACAGCAGTACGGCCACCACCGCAACATCTCCATCAACGCAAACTACTCCTACAGGCACTAATCCCAACACGAATCAACCAAACGACGTGTTTTATCAGTTTATGGCTCGCATGGTATGTTAGCAGGTTTTTAGTGTATTTTCCGAAGGAAATACACTATTGCGTTCTCCCCTGATGTCAGACCTGGACCAAAGACCATGTAATGAGCATCGATCATGGGTTGTAGATTACGAATATGCATGCCGTTTGAATTCATATATATATATATATATATATATATATGACTCATCGTGGTTTTTCCGATTTTTGCTTGGTTATATTTCTCTCATTTTAAAAAATTTCCGAGTGAAACTTTTTGCGATGTAAAGAAGAGGAACAGGACTACCATTCTGCGAAAAAAAGATGGAGATCGAAGTATTACATTTCGAATGGTGGGGGCGAGAAGTGGGGGGAGGTTCAATTTTGTGGGCGCCATAACTCGCGCAAATTAAAAGCTTTCCCCCCGAAATTTTTACAGAAGGAAGATCTTACTTAGTTCTAGGCTGGTATTGAATTTGAGCGAAATCGGTCGAGCCGTTTAAAAATGGCGAGCTTTGAAAGTTTTAGGCGGGGGGTGTGCGGCAAAAGGAGGGAAGCCGCACAGTGGGTCACGACCTGAAAATTGGTGGACAAGACGGCAATGTTGTCGCACAGTGGGTCACGAACTGAAAGTTGGTGGACAAGACGGCAATGTTGTCACACAGTGGGTCACGAACTGAAAATTGGCGGACAAGACGGCAATATTGTCACACAGTGGGTCACGAACTGATGAACTGATGGCTATATTGCCGCACAGTGGGTTACAGACTGATAATTGGTGGACAAGACGGCAATGTTGTCGCACACTGGGTTATGGAGATTCATCCATCGTCATTCAAGCTTGCCGCAGCGTTTGTTGACATTTTTTCATATCAGACATTACATGAGGATTGTTGTTGTAATCTGGCGACATGAAGTCCTTATTCGAGTAATCAATGCCTCCAACAGTGTAAACGTAAATCCAACCTCCAAAGATTGATAGCTCCCCGCCCCCGCCCCTCCCTTCGGAAAATACACTCTTCCCGCGGTGGACGCGCGGGTCACTTAAAAGACAGAACAACTGAGGCCGGACACTCAAACTAAAAAANCATTTTCAAAAAAAGAAAAAAACAACAAAAAAAACCGGCGCTCCGCTTCGCTCCGCGCCGGTTTTTTTTGTTGTTTTTTTCTTTTTTTGAAAATGAGAAAATTTCTTGTGAGATCTGCGACGAACATCAGACCTTAAATTGTCACCGATATTTGCTACCTTATCTGCTGAATTTTTGTTTTCTTCAATAGAAGACTGCCCGAAATTATTTTAAAAAACACCTTTGCTGACATTGCAATTTTACTTTTATCCATTAAATACTTGAAATTTGCGCATACTTTTGGAATCAAAACGTCCCAATGAATACCGATTATTTTTTATTCAAGTCCAAGGTGAATCTATAAATTTTTAATGCAATGTTTGAGCGTTATATCGGATTGCTGATAAGGATGCTTTTGAGTCTGTTGCCTGCAAAGTAATAAATTAATTTTTCTAACTTAAAAATCCAAGATGGGGCGTTGGACTGAACATACTTTACAGGGCTCTATCAAGTTTTTATTTGAATCGATGTTTGCGAAAACGTCTGATGTCCAAAAAGTCAACTTTTGGTAGGCCGCAAAATACTGTTGGAGGCCTTTAGAATCGGTGTTTTGAAGATTATCAAAGCATTTTATCTTAGTAAAGGTTTGTAGAAAAGGCAACAAACTGTTTCCCATCCCAACTCCTACCAAGTGAGTGCTGAGTAATACTGTAAAAAGGGCGTTGGACATCAGACGTTCTCGTATGAGTTGCAAAAATCTGCCTCAGAATCACTATTTTTGACCCTTCAAAAAACCTTTAAATTAGCGTAAAACGATGATGGCGCTACTGAAAAAACTTGAAATGACTTCTCAAACTCAAAAAAAGCTGTTTTTGGAACCGACCCATTCGAAACGGTCACTTTTACGTGGTAACGGACCCGCCATACTTCTGACGTGAAATGGTTCGACAGACCTGGTCTTTTCATCTCTTACAATGTATTTTCCCATAAGGAATTGGCAGCTGCTTTTCAAATGCAAATATTGAGTCAATCTATGATTTTTTGAACAAAATGGAATTCAGCAACGGATTCCTCGTACGTTTAAATGGTTAGAATCTTCATTAGATAAATAAGAAATGTCGGGATAAACCCTATTTTTAAGGAAGACTGTAGTCGATGGGCGATTGTTTACATCTACTTAGTGATAACAGACATGGACATTAGCTCAATATTTAGCTATTTTCATGAGTTTTTACTTTTTTATCACTATTTGGAGGTAAGTTTCTTTTGCAAATCATTTGTTTAGTGCCTTAGGATCATGTTAAAAGCTGTAACGGTACACATTGTTACGTATTAATTCAGAACACACTGCGGCAGTCTTACGCTCAAACCAAAGATGTTCTCTCAATGCGTGTAAATCATTCTTAACTCTTCAAGAAACATCTCAATATCATTCAGAACGTTTTATAAACTTATGTTACTTTAAAATCCTGTGTGTTTTCAATGTAACACTAAACAGAAAAATTTGTCGATAAGTCTGGTAACCGCAGAAGGATCCTACGTCTACTTTCTTTGCCTCCATCTAAAACATACCGGTCTCCTCATCTCATCAGTATTGTCAAAGGTAAGTTTTTTTTATCATCAATGATTGATACTATCATTTTGGTGTCTTCAGTGAAACATTGAAGGGTGAAATATTAAGAAATAACAACTGACTCGCTACATCCAGGTTTGAGCATTGGACTGCTGCAGTGTGTTCTGAATTAATACGTAACAATGTGTACCGTTACAGCTTTTAACATGATCCTAAGGCACTAAACAAATGATTTGCAAAAGAAACTTACCTCCAAATAGTGATAAAAAAGTAAAAACTCATGAAAATAGCTAAATATTGAGCTAATGTCCATTTCTGTTATCATTGAGTAGATGTAAACAATCGCCCATCGACTACAGTCTTCCTTAAAAATAGGGTTTATCCCGACATTTCTTATTTATCTAATGAAGATTCTAACCATTTAAACGTACGAGGAATCCGTTGCTGAATTCCATTTTGTTCAAAAAATCATAGATTGACTCAATATTTGCATTTGAAAAGCAGCTGCCAATTCCTTATGGGAAAATACAGTGTAAGAGATGAAAAGACCAGGTCTGTCGAACCATTTCACGTCAGAAGTATGGCGGGTCCGTTACCACGTAAAAGTGACCGTTTCGAATGGGTCGGTTCCAAAAACAGCTTTTTTTGAGTTTGAGAAGTCATTTCAAGTTTTTTTAGTAGCGCCATCGTTCTTTTCGCGAAATTTGCCATAGGAATCAGGCATCAATTTGCGAATCCCTGCACCTTGCAACAGGCCCATTGAAAAAACTGTCAAAAATCGGTTATTTCTCCTCATTGTTCTGCTACTTTTGCACGTTTTCAGAGCAGAACTTTTTTTTTCACCTGATTTCTCATCTATAGAGGGTCCTATAGGAGAACCCAAATTTTCTCCCTCGACAAATTATGGGAACTCCTTTGGGAACCCCCCCCCCCTCCTCAAATCGAAATAACTAAAAAATCGGTCATTTTCTCCCGTTTTTCGGCGATTATCGCAAAAACCGTTGCCTTCATGACTAGGTATGTGGATCTCACTTGAAAGCAGATAAAATTTCGGTCATTTTAAACCTGATCTGAAATTTTTTCTGATGAAAATTGCGCTCACTGCCGGGTTCTCAAAAAAAATCCAAAATTTTCAAAATTTCATTTTTTAATGGTTTTTTGCTTGTAACTATTTTTCTAAAATTATTCTTTAACGTATGTATATCCTTCCAAATAATGAGTAGATTCAACATACTACAATTTCGTTTATCAAGCTTGTCCATAGAGCGGAACGAGACGGCACCCTGCACGGTTTATTTCAGTAAAAGTTAAATGAAATTTTCTGTTGCTCACGAAGTCTTTTTGGATTTGAAAAATAGAGTAAAAATGATGTTTTCCTCACTTGAAATGAATGTAGATTGTTTGAGCTCCTTGAGAAATATATCGTTTTGTTATATGTTCAGGGCTTATAAGAGGCTGATACCAAAACAAAGCCAAGAAATTCCGAAAAATTTCAATTACAGTCAAAAAGGACCCTGCACACCTGTTATGGGAAGCTGCACCAAGACCGAATGCTAGTTTATTTTTGTCATTCGATTCTCCTCAAGATGCTGATCAAAAGTTATAATTGCTCCAACTTTATACGATACACCGTTTTCGCCAAAAACCTAAGAGAAGATTCAATTATTCGGCGATGAAAAGCCAGAAAGATTCCTCATTTCAGTACTCGAGTGAACAAATCAGGGGAACTCCCGCACCGACCGGCAGTCTTATCTCGGATTCCGCACGCTGTTTTGCTCGACCATCCAAATCAGATTCCTGAGGAGCATAAGAACAGGAAAGTCGGGCGTCAACCGGACGAGAGCGGAGGGAGATAGCCCCAGAGTTGGCAGGTATACAGATAAAAAGACGGACACGTCCTACGTTTTTTCCTTATTTACATCCGGCCTGTTCTCAAATGCTTTGTTCTTTTTTATTCATTGTCGCCGAATAATTGAATCTTCTCTTAGTTTTTTTTGCGAAAACGGTGCATCGTCGAAAATTGGCACAGTTATAATCAATTTATAATTAATAATTAATTTTGATCAGCATCTTGAGGAGAATCGAATGACATATATCAATTAGCATTCGGTCATGGTACAGCTTCCCGGGATAAGAGGTGTGCGGCGTCCTTTTTTTTTGCTCTAATGAGTACCAGTACTAGACTGAGGGGTGTCTCTTTTACTGTTTTTCTTCTTTCTTGCTTATTAGTAGATACGAACTTAGGTGAATAAAGAGTTATATTCACAAACTGCATGGAGTAATTGTTGAACCAACCAAAAAAGCTACCTTCAGCCTCAATACAGGTTGCAACCTTAGCCCTGCACCAAACGCAGAGAGGTGGTTTTTGAGGTTGAGAAGCAATAGTAAACACTTCC